GAAAGAATGGGCTTGGTATGGAAGTATGGAACATTGAGTGCAAGTTTAACCTATTGTACAAGAAAATAGCACTCTATCTTGAAGTAAACATCTTGTTTAGTTTGAAATGCTTTGTAATAGCAGGTTGAACGGGTTCACCGGACTTCACCCTACAAGATTCGTATTTGGTTCAGATTTTGAATTGAAATTAGAAAGATGACAAAAATCGTGTATTTCTCTTTTAAATGCAAATAACTTATATTGAGAACTGAGAAGACCTAAAAAGAAAAATATTACGTATGAACTTTACTTCAGGCTTCAGACTTCTGTTATCCCTTGTTGTAACTGTACAAGTAGGAGACTTTGGGTGGACGTAGGGGTGCTGGGGTGGGTCCAGTCAGGAACCGGGTCCCACTAGGGGTTGTTAGGGTTGACTTGGCCAAACCCGGGACCCAGCGTGGCACTGTTATGGCCTTATCTAACCTGGGGAACTGGGACTGGGACTGAGGCCTGAAGTGGTCGTATGAAAGGGTGGGCATCGGGATCTGAAAATGGTGGTCGGGATGGGTCCGGGCCCATTTTTCTTTTTTTAAAATTTTTTCCCATTACAATTAATTTGAAAAGACAAAAAAAATTATTTCCCGACCCGGTATTGGTACAAACCCGGGACTGGGTCTAAATAATTTGGACCCGGACCCCGCCCCAACCCGACCAGGAGCCCGGTCCGAGCCCAGTCCACCCTTAGGTCCTGCACAATCCTGTTTTCTTTGAAGTATTATAACTTTTTTTATTTGTATTCTGATTGTTACAAAAATATACCAAAATTCATATTTTTTCATTATCTTTCATATGACACCAATATTGAATATATCAAATCAAAAAATGATTTTACACTATAAATTACTGCATATCTATTTTTAAAGTGCTATATACTAAGTATAATTTTTTGTATGCCGATTATTACTAAAAATATATCAAAAGTAGTTATTTTTTTTATCTTTTATAGGAAAGCAATACTCAGCAATGTTTTAAACGAAAGCAATGTTTCATTGAGAAAAATAAAAAGAAAATCTATTAATTTGTGTAGTTTAGAATCATTTTTTACCATGCACACAATTAATCAAGAGTGATAGATTAAAACAAAATTACACAAACTCTATCACATAGATTTCCATCATACAATTAATCAAGAGTGATAGATTAAAACAAAATTACAAAAATATATCAAAATTTATCGTTTTTTATTATCTTTTATAGGAAACTAATGTTTCATATAGAAAAATAAAAAGAAAAATCTATTAATTTGTGAAGTTTAGGATTGTTTTTACCATGCACTCCAGATTTTTATATATTCAATATTGGTGTCATATGAAATAAAACAACATAAATTCTAGGGCGAAAATAAATAAATAAATAAATGTGATGGAGTTTGTGTAATTTTGTTTTAATCTTATCACTCTTAATTAATTGCGTGCATGGTAAAAAATGATCCTAAATTACACAAATTAATAGATTTTCTTTTTTATTTTTCTAAAGGAAACATTGCTTTCCTATAAAAGATAATAAAAAATAATTACTTTTGATATATTTTTAGAAATAATCAGAATACAAAAAAATATACTTCATATATAGCACTTTAAAAACAGATATGAGTAATTTATAAAGTGTAAAATTATTTTTTGATTTTATATATTCAATATTGGTGCCATATGAAAAATAATGAAAACTTATGAATTTTGATATATTTTTTGTAACAATCGGAGTACAAATAAAAAAGTTATAACAGTTCAAAGAAAACATGAGCTTTTTATTTTGGGTTGGACCCATTACCTTGACTTTGGCATTACATCTTGCTTTCTTCCCTGACCTGCGTAAATTTTAAGAAGTTGCAAGTGAAAAGCCGCCACTTCAAGTGGTGGCTCTTGTGCTGCAAGACAGTATTTTGGGAATTATTTTTAATTCAGCAGTATTTTGGGAATTATTTATTTGATTAGCATTATTCCGGAAAAAAACTCAATAGAAAGACTGAAAGACCAAATAAAGAGTTTAGAAAACAAGAATTCATGTGAGGGAGGGGATTCGATCCCAAAACATCATAGACAGAAGTACTTAAATATGTGCCTAATCCAGTTCCTCTGCTGCAATTCTATGTACAATGATCGCTTATTTTTAATATATACATTTATTAATTATTTTCGTAAAAGATATATACGTAGTATAATATATATAGGTAAAATTTTGGAAGTGCACGGGGTCCAGAGACCCCATGGGACCCTTAGTAGGGGTGGACCGTTTCCGGTTCGGGCCAGGTTCGGGCCTGGGCCCGGCCGGGCCTCGGTTCAGAAAAATGAGGCCCGAGCCTGAACCGTTAGTGGGCGGTTCCGGGTCCGGTTCCGGGCCAGACCGGGCCGGGCCGGGCCACCCGGATTTTTAATTTTTTTTCTTCTTCTCTTATTTAACCCCCTACCTCTCCCCCTCCACCCCAAACCACCTCAAATGGCCCAAAATACCTAATCCAACCCAAAACTTAAAAAAATTTCAAAAAAAAAAAAATTAAATTCCGGCTCGAACCGGGCCTGGCCGGGCCGGGCCGGTTCACTAAAATCGAGCCCGGGCCCGGACCGCTATACCACCGGGCCGGGTGGCCCGAACCGGGCACAAACCGGTTCACCGGGCCGGGCCGGGCCCGCACAGTAGCAGGCCGGTCCGTTTCCGGGCCGGTTGGCCCGATCCGAGTCCAACCCTAACGCTTAGTGAGTCCGCCACTGTTCTCACGTTCTCACGTTAAGCATGATTCTCATTTGATCATAAATACGATATAGACAATTTGAAAGATGAAAATATCTTATTTAAGGGTCCGAGCAGATGAAATGAATGCACAAAATAGAGTAAAAACTTTATCATCACTACCTCAGTTTGAAGCCATAAACAATCTAATGTTTTACGATCTCACCTACACGGAAAATTTAAAAATATTGAAAGTCATTTTTAAAAAAGGAAAACTCCATAGTATTAATTCAAAGCATTGTTTGCCAACTAGCATGTAATACAATTAGGACTAATTAAATAAAATTGGCTCCCATTCACTTTATCCAGAGCATCTCTAGCATGTTTGTGAGCTATCTATTGGCTGACCTCCGATAAAACTTGACTTCGATTCCCGCTCGATCAAGAAAAATGTGTCTAATATTTTGTAAAACAACGTCCAAATATGATTTCCCAAGAGACGTCACTTACCTTTATTCCAATGGGGTCCTTTTTGGCAACGCTTTGCACTTCATCGTGTTGTCCGGTCCTTATGATTACTTCTCGATTTTGGCCTTTGATCTTGTCACTGGAACATTCCGGGAGATTCAGCTGCCTGAAAATTGTTGGTGTGATAGGCTTATGAATCTAGAAGGTTTATTATGTGCTTTAATTTTGACTGATAGGTTTCCATTCGTGACCCAAGTTAATTTGAGGAAAAAAGTATTAATGAAAAAAATTTGTACCTGTAAATGCGAAAGTAAAATAATATACTTTTGAAAAGGAACAAAATTTAGTAGGTAAAACATAAATTGATCATGATATCACAACATATAAGATATTTCAAAGTAATCCTTGAAAAATAAAGTTATGCCTTTTGAAATAAATCGTGGGTTAGTGGGAAACTGGGAATAGCTTCCAATAGGAATTAATTGAAGCAACTATGAACAGGGAATGAACATTTCAAGTATAGTTTTAGATATTTCAAAACCATAGAAAATGAGTAAATGGAAACTTTCACGAGCGATTGCGGCCGGGCCTAAATTAACTTCATTTGAGTTTTTGAATAAGAATAGTAAAAACTGTATGCTTGATATTTCATATTTGTAAGAAACTGAAAATTCATTATTTTAAAATGAAAATGTCAATATTTTTGGGACAAATAGTACTCCCTAATAGATAGTTAACAAAATCCAATTTGACGGAAGGAGTATTTTGTAAACCATTCCAATTTCCTTTCTCATATACTCTAACGCCACTGCCCCCACACTCTTTGTGTCCAGTTACGCAGTGACACACACAATTAATATAAGAGAAAATTCCACTAATATTTCCTTGAAAAAGTGTTGAACAAAAATGTGACTTGGTAATTATTAATGTTTATATGTAGTCATTGTGATGTATAACTTGAACAAAAATGTGACTTGAATACTAAGTCACATTTTTATCTATCTTTTTTATTATAAATAATTTAGAAAAACCTCCCTTTGCGATCAATAAGTGGTTTTTTTTTTACAGGGATCAATACGTGGTTATATATCAAATTTTGACTTTGGTCCAAGATACAACCATCTGTATATTTTTGAAGTTGCAAATTCATACTCAAACTTTGAAGCATCGGTTCTGATATGCACATACGACAACTCATTGAACTTTGATAGCTTGTACAAAACATCATCTTGTTATATTGATTCTTTAGAAATGCAACTAGGGAGCGCACGTTGCAGTTGTAAATGCTAAAAAAGAACAAAAAAAGCAAACAATATAAACCGTATGTCCGTATAAACATTTTCAAAAGCCACATGAAACATATATTTCTGAACGTTCATATATTAAAATTGTAAACGAATTCAATTAAGGACGTTTAATGTATACCCCTTATAACAAGCTGTACTTCAAAGCTATATCATATATAATTATATTATGTATACAGATTTTGATTTAGAAAAAGAAAGGAATTAGATGTAATCATGGAAAGCCACGCATATTATCCAATCTCAAATTTATTCACGAAACGGATATCGAGTGAAAAAAAGATTTGATATTTATGTTTCCTTGTTTTTTGCACTGCACTAACAAAATCTTGTATTTAACGTATACATTAACGCATTGATGGAACAAAGGCCTAAGTAAAAAGCAGTTTAATTTTTTAGATAAGAAGTGTACAAAAGCTTTATGAATCCACAGCAAAGTACAATTGTAGTTTAAGAGTCTCTAAGATAACAACACAGTAAAGAAACCAACTTTGATGAACGCTATTAGCTACACATCAAAAACTAACTCTTCTAATTTCTGGTGCTCAAAACAACAAAAGGGGTTGAGGGGTATATAGGTGAAACAAACACCACTTAAATAACAAGATAGTACAAAAAATCTTGAATAATATTTTACATGAAGTTGCAATGGCAGTTCGTAGTATATGAACCGCCCTCGATGAGAAGTTTCTGGGGTTCTATTGAGGATTCTCACATTTTGCCAAGAGAGCTCAATGACAATGGCTATACGAGATAAACAACCAAAATTAGCCATTTTTATAATCCAAGAAGAGATACTGATCCAGGAACTGGATTCTGAGCCTTAAAGTTATCAATTATAGATCTGAAGTCACTCTGAAGGGTCATAAGCGTTTTCTGTCTGCGCGTAAAAGCATGGCTGAAGTCTGTAATGTCTTCTTCAAGTTCTCTCCTCCTCCGCTCTTCGACACTCAAATTCTTCAGAACCTTTTCTTTTTGTTCCATAAGGTGAGCAACCTTTTGAGTAGAGTCTGTAACTCTTTCAATCAAAGTATCTCTCTCTTCTTTCAAAACAGAAAACTGTTTGTCTAAACTGTTATATCCTTCCCTGGAATCCATAACAAGTTGGTTACTAGCCTCCAATTCTCTCTCCAAGCTGCAGCATCTTTCGTTCATTGTTAGAACTTCTTCCTCAAGCTTCTTCTTCCAACTATCAATATCTTGCTCCAGAGTAGACCCCTGGATTAAAGTAAGCAATAGGTGCTAAAAAAACAAAGCATGATAACAAGGGAATGGGTGATGTGTGCAGCTAGTGACACTGCTAGTATGGCAAGTGTCTTTTTCTATGGGTGCTTTCAGTGATGTACAGTGTTTTTGGTTTGAACGTTGTGACATTCCAAACTAATGTAGTACATCATTTTTCCTGGATCCGTTCCCTTTCATACAGCAAACTTATTACCTAAGTTAATCTCACATTCTGTACCAACCCCCCCCCCCCCCCCCCAACTCCCTAAGAGTGTTAACTTATGGGATTATGTAAAGCATTTGTTGGTTGGCGGTATCATGGGTAATAATATGTGCGCACACTAACTAGTACCTTACAGCCTCAAAGAAGATAGTAGTATCCCATGGTGAGAATGGAGAAGAGTATAAAAACGAAGGTGTGACATCTGGTTATCTGTAGTGACCAGGCAGCTACCTTATGTTTGCTGCTGTTTGATTCATTCTCTGGAAGTTGGCTTCTGATTGAAGATAATGTACTATTCGCTCTCATATAAAGCATATTCCGCTGCTCTTCAAATGAAAAACCATTCCCATCTAAGGAGGATATATCTCCACCACTACTCATCTTGAAGCTAGATTCAAGAGTTGAAAAAAGGGAGATTCCAATATCACTTGTGGTAGAAAGTAACTCGGCGGTTGGTGACTTCTGATTGGTTACACAGTTCTGTTTCACATACCATCAGTGTTTGCAGATATGGTGTCAATATATCACTTTATACATCCAAAAGAAGTCATATTTAGAACTCATTACCTGTATTATTGATATGACATCCTTGTAAATATCTTTGCATATTCTGACAGCTTCAGAGTGTCTTTTGGGGATTTCCTGAACAAGGGATGCCTCTTGCCGAAGTAGAGAAATCTCTCTCATTAAATCCTCATTAACTGATTCTTGTTTGATATGATTCATCTGAAATTTTAGAACCATAACATAAGCCACACAGGTAGAGAGCCTTGTAAACATAAATGATCACAACAATGCAAACTTATGTATCTACTATCTACACCCTAATTATAACCTTGAATTCATCTCTTTCTTTTAACACTTGCTTCAGCTCTCTCTGAAGATTCTCCACCTCTTGTTTGTAATCCTGGATGGGTGAACCCTGGTGGAAAAGGTTGTTAAGACAACATCGGTAACCATAAAAAAGTAACAGCTCTGTTCGTTTATGAGAATATTTATTTATAGACAAAGTTCCAGATTTTCCAGGATTTGGCAAGGAAAAACTATCCTGGCAAGATTTTCCAGTATTTTTCTTTGAATCTTCGAAGACTTCTCCAAAACTGAAGCGAAAGCCAATTTCTTGAAAATGTTTCATGTTTTCTACTTTTGTGGATAAAACACTCAAACATTACTTTATGCTTGAAACAACTTATTTCCATGAAGGCATGAATACATTTTCCACAGCTTATTTTCCTGGAAACAAACAACGTCTATTCCTTATCTTAGTCATTTATGACTCTAACTTTGTGGGTCAAACACTTGACACTCAAACTTGTTAGATCAACTTAGATTCCATGAAAATATTTTCGACAAGTTATATTCCTGAAAACAAACAAAGCCTCCATATTATCAGTCATATGAATACGCGACTCACATTCTCAGCACCCTTAGCCAAAGACAGACTCTTTAGAGCGGGGGTCCTTAGAGGGGTGGCATCAAGATCAGCCACATAGCCCTTGTTCATTTTTGCCCATGTATCTTCATTGGCAAAGGCATCAAGTGCATCCGGAAGAGGACTGCATTCGGGCTGCCGAGAGTAGTTTGATCGCCGAGCAACAAAAGCATCGGGAACTTTTTTAAAACACGGCGTACTAAAAGCATCATCCTGGCTTGTGCCTCTGTTATCCTCCTTAACGCTTTGTCTGGAAATATTCTGCAACCAGAACAAATTTAACCTTTTGTTCATCATATCAAAAAACATATAATCTACTTGAGCAAAGGTAAAGAGAGCCCAGAAAAGATTAGATATCCCAATAACTACCAATTAGCATATCCTACCTGAGTGGCGGCAAAACCATTAATATCTGAAAGAGTTGGATGGTTGCAAGGCTCATCCAGTTTCCTCTGTTCATCCATAATACGCTCCTTCTTCAATCTCCTTTCCTCCTCCAACTCCATAGCAAGCCTCTCATGCTCCTGTTCAGACTGATGAATAGGAAAATGACCAATCATCTCAGTACCAAAGAAAACCCCATATGCTTTTATAGTTTTATTTAGACATACAAACAAATATGTTTACCTTCAGCAAATCATTTCTCAATTTTAAAATCTGTTGTTCAAGCACTTCAGAGTGGGATCCCTATAAAGTAGTTACCTCAAATTATTAGTCGGGCTGTAAGATGTGGGATATAATTTTCAGATTGACATTACTTTCACACCTCAAGTTTCTGGCGTAATTCCTCTATTTCAAGCTTTTGTCTCTTCAATAATGCAGCATCTGTCAATATCTATTAAGATATGAACTACAATCAGCTCTATATCCAATTAACAAGAAAAAAACTACTCTGAGATATTAAACCATCTCTATAAAGGAACACTGCTCACCTCATTCACTTGAACGCAATTGGTGATACGTTTAGCTCTACTAGCAAATTGTAGGGTGCCCTTCGTTTCTTCAATGTGAACCTAATTATATTAGTGGCATATAACATTTTAATATTTGTATCAATAATAATGATAAAAAAGCAGATCTGGCATACCAAGAAAAGGGTACCTCTTCTGGTGCTACAGTGCATATTATGGAAGTTTTGGCATTACCACCAAGTGCAGGCTGAAGTATACGTGTGAGTTTGCTATCACGGTAAGGAATATGCCCCCTGCATAATATATAAAATGTTAGCTTTGAACAGTCATATCTATAGACCCAGGAGTAGCCACTGCATCTAAAGGAACAAGTACCTTTGCCTAGAACCTTCGCTTAATTTGTTGATGACATTGCCAAGAACCATTAAGCTTTTATTAATGTGTTTTCCTTCTTTGAGGCGAACTCCCCCGGCTCCAGTTTTGGCAATCCTTTCAGAGCCTGCCAAGTCTACTAAGTTCTGTTTCCAAAGGAAAGCACAAAGTTAATACAACAACAACATCCAAGCCTTAATCCCAAAAACAATTGGGGTCGGCTAACATGAATCGATCCATGATATCAGGGCAAAAAAGAGAAAAAAGATAAGGAAGAAAAAAGTAAGATAAAATGGAAAAGATATAAATGACCTGAAAACATAAGATAGATAACAGATAAAAGAGATAAAGGACATAAGAAGAATAAAAGAAGGGAGAAAAGAAGGGAGAAAAAAAGACAAAGACTAAAATAGGACACTGTGGTCAGTCTTAATCTCTGTATCATAATGTTGATAAAAACATTGAGGGTGCAGATTGGAATGATATTTCACAGAACTAGTGTACTGCTCTACTCTCCAAAAGTTCTTACAACAACCAAATGGAATTCTGAAGATTGTGGGTGCGAATAAACTATTTGTACAAACAACAAATATTTTAGGAATATCATAATAATTCTTGCATTGGAGCATTTTTTTCTTTTGCATCATGACAAAGTCTCTGAGGAGGAATAGCATACCAAAATGGACACACGAACTGCATCTTCTGAATTATTTGTCCCCTTGCTTTCAATAACCTAATTAGTAGTAAAAGAAAGATTCAAGTACTAAAATGAAATATAAAGTAACAGCTTCCAAATACAACAATCCTGCAACAATGAAAAACATACCATCCGAAAGATGGTGTGTGACCTGCTACTTCGTACATTCATGTTAGTTTCCCCAAAGTGCCTCTTGTCTGCCAAACCATTTCACGGAGATCAGGATTTAGACACATTAAAAAACTGTGGGCCGGATAAACGGAGTTCGGGAAATTGTTGTATAGTCTAGTTTAAAGATCAAACCTTCTCCACGTTCGATGAGTTCAAGTACTTGTTCAGCAGAGTTCACAATTTCCTCCCTCAGACCTGCTACAAATACTCCACGCTATAGAAATAGAAATGGATGTTATGTCACAAACTCGCAACCCAAATATCAATTATCTTAAAGCTATTCTTTCATTTCATTACCTCCAAACTTTCATGGATGGGGAGCTTCTGGTTTCCACCAGCAAAAAGATCGTTTATTTCTTCATTGTAAATTTCCATGTATGAGACTCGAATCAGGAATTCCCTATCAGTGGTCTGGGAACATAAAAGTTGAGCTATTTACCCTCAGACCAATAGATTCTGTTCATTAAAAGGGTGATAATATTCAGGGAGAAGGTAGTAATACCATGTGAATTTTGGTAAATATATCATTCACTGCACGTTGAATGATTCCAGCATCATTCTCGGAACCATTCATGGTAAAGGTCTTGCCGCTACTTGTCTGCCCGTACGCAAATGCAGTTCCTGAATGGAAAAGATCAACCATACATTACTTTAGCTCTTCAAGTCTCTAGGTAGACCAAGATATTAACAATGAGCGTGAATTCATAACCTATTGATTATCTTCTATAAACCCAGCCATAAAACAAACAATTTTCATGTCTCCAATCAAATCTTTTCCCTAACCCGAAATTCTGGAGCATTCATCTACCGAGGCACTAATGCAAGCTTACTTAGGTGAAATACTGTGAAAAGATCTATTGTTCTTATCATCTCAAGTTAAACAACGACCATTGAGCTCACATCTAGAACTATAGAAGTGCTGAGGCATTACAGATCCAAAGAAGAAGAAATAACCGAATGAGTGCATACCATTGAAGCCTTCAAGAGCAGCATGAATAATATCCTTCGTGACCAACTCATAAATCCTAGAATTTGATGACTCCTGATCAAAGACGTGATCTACAATAAAAATGAAATGCATTCATAACAACTTCACAAAAACCCATTTAGAAAACGTAACCTAATTTTAGTTAGATCAAAGCTTCGTGAAATTCATGGAAAGATTAGTAGTGCTTGTACAGTGAGAGAGTGAGTGAGAGTACCAAAAGCGAAGGAGAGGCCGGAAATGGGGGTGCCATGAATCTTGTGGAGGGAGATCCTATTGTCTTCTACCTTCCAGAAGGTTCCATGATTGCTGTCTTCACCCCTCGCGGGTCTAACTCTGACTGCTACGCTCACCTTCTCCATTTCACCTGGTCGGTCCTTCACAGCTTGCAGCCTCACCGTCCGTCTAATCAAACGCCTCCTATGTTCGAAACTCTCTGTACCAGGAGCGGGGCGGGCTATATTTCTAGGCGTAGTGATTTGAAATTGTAATGGTTTACCATTGTGCCCTTTAAATACATAAAAAAAACAAGTATGTGATGAAATATCAAGTACGCTTTCCAATTTCAGTCATCGTAAGTATGTGTTTGTTTAAAAAAAGAACAAACATTTAGTATAAATAATAAAGAACAAACTTTTTAATAGGTTAAAAAATGTTGCACAGAAAAGCATGTGATGAAACTCGTATGTATGTTTGTGGGCATTTGTTATTATTTGTTTGATATTACTTAAACATGAGACATATGAAGTAAGTTGTTAATTTCCTCAAAGTCACTTTAATTTTCCTCGTTAATTTCCGTCTCCCAACATTATTTTATCTAATCCACCGTATGTTAGTTTCACCGATTCACTATTCATTTTCTCGACCCATTGCTGGGTATTTATTTTGATCATAGGCTGGTGTTAACTGATTAGCTAACATACAGGGGTGTTGGTAACTTGGTACTCCGTATAAAGTAGCTAGATCAATCAATTGATAGGCAAGAGTTGCAGTACGCGTTAACTGATGCTCGCGTATAGCATCAGTGTATAGAAATGTTATTATATTACAGAAATTGGGTAGAGTAGTCTGAAGTCTGAACCTTCTAAAATGAGTAACAGCATTGAGGAGTGGGGACCAGATAGAATCAGTGTACAAAAATGCTATTACTACATCCGTCCCAAATTGATTAGCAAATTTGACTTTGTAAATCTGATCATATTCATTTTCTCGACCCACCGCTGAGTATTTGATTTGATCATATCTTGTTGTACGTTCTTCCGTTTCGAGTGTTTCATATCTCGTTGGAAAGGTCGATTTGAATTCTAAAACTCATGTTGAGACTTCATGTGGAGATTCACCATTAGCTGGCCAAATTGACGATTCCGGTTGTTTCTAGTGGCGGGATAAACCAGATTTTATGTTATTTCTTTATTGAGATGATGAAATAATTTATGTTTATTTTCTACTACGTATGTGTGTAGGTTTATTTTTTTTTCTAGTCTTAATTATTAATTTAGTAATAGAAGAAGGTATGGGCTTCTATTGATAAGAAATTCAAATCTATCGGGGTTCTTGAAATGTTATGTTTGAATCTTTAATCTCAGGTTTCATCTGATTATAGCTTTAGGATATCTGAATTACTAATTTCCTTTAAAAAAATTAAGTATTTGAAAGTTATCACTTAGCATCCTCAACTTCCATTGAAATAATAATTTGCATGTGATGAGAGACAAGGTATGATATAAAGGTCAATCTCACGAGTGGATTGATGAAATTGGAAAACAAATCGGTAAAAATCTAAAGCACAACTGAAATAAACCGAACAGGAAAACTGATTCGAACAACAATCGTTCCACTTTGGAAAAAACCAATTAAATTATGGGCCATTGGCCACCATCAACAACATTGCAAACACATCCCCACTGCCACAATCACTGACCTTGCCAAACCACCACCTAACTTGGAGGGGCTATCTATCTCAGATGCAACTAAAGGACATTTGAGGTTAACATAATGCAACCATTATTGAGTATTACTCAAAGATGAGAAGTGTAATATACACAATGCATGCCTCCTGGCTCCTACTCACTCTTGTCGTATGCTCGATCGCTTAGGTTCAATCTTGGATGTATTCATCTACATGTGAAGTCTACAAAGCTTTGATACTGCTCATCATCAACCCGTATTTAATCCTACAAGTTCACTGGGGGAGTTCCCTGCACAAACAGCATGAATCATCTCAATGACCATATGTAAGAGAAGGCATCCAAGTTTCTATATACTCCCCATGTCCCTCAAGCCCTTACTGTAAGGGCATGGTTTGGCTGTCACATATAAGGAAATGATGAAAAGCATTTAAAATAATATTCAAATTCTAAATATGCCCTTGTGTTTTTAGGAATAGGCATTTGAGCCTTTAAGAGGGACAATGGCGGAAAAGAAAATAAATTATGCATTGATTAAATAAAAGTGACTTATATTTAGAACCACCATTTTCCATCAATTGCAATGGAGCCAAAAACTCACTATTTTTTGGCTTGGATATATGATGGAATATAGCAAAATTGTTCACTAAATTGTCCGCGCTTCTTTGTTATGAAGCAACAGTCGGCCCGTGCAGTTTTCGAAGTGATTTTTACTATGGGTCATCCGAAAATAGCAACTTTGTGCATTAATGCAGGGTAAGACTGCGTACATCCGACCCCCTCTTACCCCACCGTAGGTGGGAGCCTTTGCGGCACTGGGGTAATGATGATATTTAGAACCACCCTAGTATGTCAGTAGGTGAGAGCGGGCTGGGGTATTAAATATTAGCTAAGGTGAGAGATCACGCCTTAAGGAGAAGATCATGAGCAATGTGCTCCCAAGGTAATGATATGGACATCAAGCAGCACTTCAGTGGGGTCATCCCTTCATCTGAACTCCGCGTAGTAGCAGAAGCAGCAGCATAAGCATGCTTTGCTGCGACTGATGCCACCGTTGCTGCCCTTCGAACAACTGAGCCTATGCTTAGTCCCTTTTTAGGGGAATGTTGACTGTGTTCCTCTTTGCTTTGATCTGACAAATTCAAACACCACTACATTAATGATAGAATGCATGAAAAAGAGTTCAATATCTCATTGAAATAACACATAATTGTTGGGTACTTGGGTCATGCTGTTATGGAATCTAGTCGAGAGATGTACAATTCATAGTCGGAGCAATCTGAAATCTAGTATGGAACCCACTGGTACAGACGGATTCTTTAAATAAAAAGTTTATAGTACCTTAACACAATAAGATTCGATGCAAGAAAAGGGGCACAGGAAGTGAAATACCACTATAGTTTGGGGAATAAAACTAGTTCTCTACAAGATGATCAAATCTAAAAAAGAAAAGAAAGACAGTCAGGAAGATATAGAATATATAAAAAACCAATCAAATACCTACAACACCAGAAACAGCTACTTCAACCTCCCCACGTCCTCCTGGGCCTTTCATGTAAATCCTGTCTGTTTTCCCTGACGAATGAAGTGAAAGAAGACTCCCTAATCCAGATCTTCCAGCTTTATGCAGTACATATACAAGACGGGAAAAAAAGTGATCAGTTTTTGCTTTACACCTAGATATACAAACTTGGAGAATAGCTCAAAAAACAGGCAAGAATAAAAAATAACAACTCATGGAGTCCTGGATGCAAAACTCAGGTTGGGGGAGGGCTGCAAAGTTTAAGAAACTTCAGCCAGCAGGAAATTGAATCAGTAAAGCAATAACACACATATTAAGTGTTAATCTGTAAAGCAATGGGGATATGTCAGAAGTTGTGCAACCCGCTAACATTAAAAATCTTTCCAGAAGGTGCATACTACCTCCAGATGACATTAATATGCCCAAGTGAAATAAAATGTCTGGGCATGCTGGTTAGCTGAGTCAACCTCAGTCAAATTGTAACACTTAAAGAAAACTAATGAACACACATTTATATAAACGTTGTATGTGAATTAACAAGCGCAGCCAACACATTCCATGTATAGATGCGCCGAATATTTGAATTAGTTGCACAATACATGATCCGGAATCCCAGAAAAACTAAATGGAGTTGTAATAGAAAGAAAAAAACGGCTTACCATCATAGGCATCTCGGACCATCTGATAACTAACGAAACCTGAGAATAAAGTGATCTGAAATATATAAAAAACGTTACAAAACTGTCAGGCTATTGCACTACTTTATCATGTAGTGTTGAGAGTGTTAATGTGACTTCATGTTATAGAGCAGGCAAAGTGGGATATAGAAGTCAGAGGACCTGTGAATGAAAGAAACAGAAACCCTGAATGTGTTTTGACATTTAGAAAACAAAAACCCAAGTCACTAATAAAATTTCCAAACATAATCGTCTCTGAAAGAGAAGCTTTTTTCAATGCCATTCAGAATAGTTTCATCTTTTCTCTCTATAAAGAATATTTAGGGGTGGCATTAAGGTGGTTGTTATGATGATGATGATCATACTCTGTATTTTCAAACCTTTGGACTCTGAGTCATTTCAGCAGCCGACTTGCTTTTGGAAGAAGTGATGTTAATATGACCTTCAATTATCTTTTCAGCTGGAAAAGCGGCTCCATCATGTGCATTTAGAATTACACAATAGCAGTGGTCCACATCTGTCAAAACCTGGGAGAGAAAAATATTTGTAATTGGGAAACAGCCTCATATTCATAGAGCATGAACAGAAAGCTAAAGCTGAAGCCTTGAATCCATATATGACCAGGATTTCTGCAACTATCTAGAAGCACCTCTATTTATATTATTCAATCAGCCAGAGATCCAAATCTCGAAAATGAGAGCAAGGCATTCAAAAAAATGAGGGAACTGATGCATTACCACTGCATCAAACGTGGAATCAAAATCATCAACTGCAAAACATATATCTGGATATGCAGAAGTCGTTTCTGCTTCCTGAAGTGTATATGTGAAGTTGTCAGATACGATTCACAGTAGAATACATGATGTGTTCCTCATTAGCAAAACTTGCCTTTCTTGAGTCCAAATGGAAATTAATACGACTGGGAGATGCATAAACAGTCTTCACAACCTACAAACGCAAAACATAATGGGTTGTGACATGCAGACGCTGAAGAATGAAACACACACACACACATATATTATCTTCTGTGATTACCTTGTATACAGGAGATAATGGCTTGTCTTTTCCGGTTTGGTAAGTTCTAAGGGCCTCGTGACTAAAAGAAAGATAGAATGACCATTATTACAATGAGACGAACAAACATGTAAGAGTTTTAGCTTGAATAATGATAAGGAAATATTACAAACTCAGGCATAATGTGAAGAAGCAAGAAAATTTCTGTTTTAGTAACCAATAAAAAAGAAAAACATAATAACCCCATCTGACAGGCATTGAAAATAAACAAATAGATGAAGAGAAATATGCAATCCTGAAAAAAGTTTTCATGGCTAGTTCAAGGTTCTGAAAACTAATGCAATTCAC